CATAAAACTTGCTAGTATCAGTGTAATTAGATTACTATAAACTTATTGATACAGTTCACGAAATCGCTTAACTACTATGCTTAAACGCATGCATAATTGTGCTTAAACCAGCTCTAAATTTGACAAACATATGCCTGACATTTTTAAAGTGCTAGTAAAGAGTATGTTCAAATGAACCCCTCCGAGATGTGAAATCTAAATTGGGAATCTGCGATAACAGGAACACAGAGATGGCACTAAGTTCCAGAAATTCCATTCAGGCCTCAAGCCTAACGATTTGCCTCTACCCCAAACTTCTTGCAGCTCTGCCTTTTGGTGTCACAAAGTGCCCAGTGTTGACAAACAGAATTTGTTAGGAAATAAACGCTATTTAGAAGCTCTTAAGAAACAGGTTTACTGGGACACGGAGGGAGTTCATGGGCAGCCAGTCACCCCCTGGCAGATCTACAGAGCTGAGAATGGAGTTCAGGTCCCATGATGTGTGACAGAAGAAAGGACAGAGAGAGGGCCAGGACCTGGCAGTGCTGATGAAGCCAAGGTTTTCCTGAAGAACATGTTGGTTCTACACTCAAACCTGACTTAATCCATTCCTGGAGTTAGGAACCCCCCAGTCTCCTCATGGTGGTCAGAGAGGTTGGGAAAAACATTGGACAAAACACCTTCAACTTGAAAACAAGCTTTGAGACCAACTGTGGAGAGCAACAAGCCTGTGAGGTCCTCTGCTCGTTACCAACGTGCACCTTCTGGGCTCCCCAGAACGAGACAGACACAGACTTGTCCTGGAGCAAGGGCCACCAAGATGCTCAAGGGACTGGAGCATATAAGGAGAGGTGGAGAAAGATGGGACTATTAGGAAACCAGACCATTTTCAGTAACAAGAGGCAATGGGCACAAATTAGAAGGAAAAAAAAAAAGGAAGCGTCATCTCAACACAAGAAAACATTTTCTTGTTTGGGGTTTTTTTGGTTGGTTTGGGTTTTTTTTTTTTTAATGGAGTATGGTCAGAGACTGGAGCAGGTTCAGTCTCCAAACACCTCCAAACCTTGACTTGACGTGGTCCTGCACAACCTGCTGTAGCTGCCCTTGCCTCAGCAGGTGGGTGGCACTAGGTGACCTCAAGAGGGCCCTTCCAACTTCAACGATTCTGTGATGAGTCCCATCAGTGAGTTTTGTGCAATTCTGAAACTGGTTGGTTTGGGTTTGTTTTTTTTTTTAATGGAGTGTGGTCAGAGACTGGAGCAGGTTCAGTCTCCAAACACCTCCAAACCTTGACTTGACGTGGTCCTGCACAACCTGCTGTAGCTGCCCTTGCCTCAGCAGGGGGGTGGCACTAGGTGACCTCAAGAGGGCCCTTCCAACTTCAACGATTCTGTGATGAGTCCCATAAAAAAAAAAAAAAAAAAAAAGAAAAAAAAATCTCAGCCCATTATCAAGTTCCTGTGCATTACTCAGACAAAAATAACCCAAGGAGGGGGGGGACAAACACCTTCCGGCCAGCAGCGCCGGCACCATTAGAGAAGCCCTGGTGATTGATCTGTCAATACCAAACTGGCCAGCTCTGGACTTGCAGCTGGAAAATGTTGTGTGGAGCCAAAGAGCAAGACCTGGAACAGAGAAGAGTCATTCCAGACATTCACCAACTTCTCTTATTGCAGAGCCGCAGCCAGGCAGGGTCAGCTGCCTGAGCACCAAACCGCCTTTGGGGGAAATGAAGGAAATTTGTGGCACAAAACAAGAAGCATCCCAGGGATTGCTCAGTTTGAGCTTCAGTCCCAAATTTCAATTACACCCAATAAAACCAGTACAATACCAGACACAGGCATGGCGCACCACCACCACCCCCAACAGTTGTTCTCAACAACAGCTGAAATGCAAAATCCTTGATGCAAATACTGAGACCTTGAAATGGGTTTCAAATGTGGATGCACTTTAGAAACTCAGGAGTTTCTGAATTGGAGTTTTTTGGGACTTGATTTTGGTTTTTTTGTGTTCGTTTTTTTTTTTTGGCATGGTCGTGTGTGTGGGGGTGTTGTTTTCATTTTTTTTGTTTTGTATTTAACAGGGGATACCTTCAGGAATGAGGATCTTAAATACCTGAAGCCTCTGGACAACAGAAGCAGCCTCTAGAACAGACACACACAGCTAAAGGGAAAGTCAAAGACAATATTCCAAATTGAAAGATTAAAAAAGTTTTTTGTTGGGTTTTTCTTTCCAGGTTGGGAGTTTTCTTTACATACCCTAAAAACAAAGGGAGAAATGTAACTAGTTCTATTTTGTTTAAAGTGAAAAATAAATAAAAAATCCTGCCTGCTGAGATCTTACACTGGATGCTGAGGTTTTCTCTCCCGCGGGGTTCGTGCAGTCAGAATCTGAGAGAGATGGTGGCAAAATCTGCTCTGCAAAGGAAATTGCTTTACTACAGGTGGCTTAAAATTATCTGGTTTCTATTTATGTTCATTAACTCAAATACCTCGGGAGAAGTAACGTTGGCTGAGACTCCAATCCTTGCCTTTTCAAGTGAGGGTTTCCAAAGCTGGCAGCCCCCCATCTCTGGGTTAGCCAGTCTCCCAGTAGAGGAAAAAAAAAAAAAGTCATATTTCTGAAAAGATAACAAGGATTTCTTTCCCATCCTGTTTTTTAGGCATCGTGAAGAGTATTTTTTTTAAAAAATGACATTACAAACCACTTCTCCCCATTCTGCTATATGCTACGAGTAGGAACAGCAGCTTTTTGAGAAACAACCCCAGAAAGAATAGAACATAAAGGAAAGAGAGCTGGGAATAACAGAAACCACGAAGAAAAAAATTTCAGAAGGAACAAAAAAATTCAAGTTTTCTACTTACCTGATTTTCCAGCCACGAGCTGTTGTCACTCCCCAACCCCCCCAATCCCAAAGTCTGCATCTTAGCCAGCTAAAAGCTATTAAATAGTCAGAGAATTAGCTTTGGCCCCATGTGTACATTAGAACATCTGAAGGGAAATTAGGCAAATAATCACTTTTTATTCAGAAGCCTAACTCAATTTTCATATTAGAAGAGCACTACTTACTTCCAGTCCCACCAGTTTTCCCTGAATCTCCACCCCACTAAACTTGCTCAGCAAGATACTGACTGACACCACCTTTCCCCAATGAAATGCAGGTTCAGCCTCACTTGCTGGTCAGCATTCCTTGGCACACTGTTCTGGGAGCTGATTAATGCTCTGTGCTGGTAAACCCTTCTGGGGATACCAGGCCACAGAGTCACAGCTGGAAAACTCTTACATATATGGCTCTTTGGAACACAGATCCAGGGTGGGCAGAGAATGGCTGGAGAGCAGCCCTGAGGAGAACTTGGGGGTGGTGGTTGATGAGAAGTTCAACATGAGCTGACAATGTGTGCTCACAGCCCAGAAACCCCCCGCACCCTGGGCTGCATCCCCAGCAGCGTGGCCAGCAGGGTGAGGGGGGGGGATCTACCCCTCTGCTCCACTCTGGGGAGACCCCCCCCCAGTGCTGCCTCCAGCTCTGGAGCCACCAACAGCAGGAGGACATGGAGCTGTTGGAGCGGGGCCAGAGGAGGCCACGGAGATGACCCATGGAGCCCCTCTGCTGGGAGGGGGGGCTGAGAGAGTTGGGGGGGTTCAGCCTGGAGAAGAGAAGGCTCCAGGGAGACCTCAGAGCCCCTTCCAGTCCCTCAAGGGGCTCCAGGAGAGATGGGGAGGGACTCTGGATCAGGGAGGGGAGCCCTAGGAGGAGGGGGAAGGGTTTGACCCTGCAAGAGGGGAGATGGAGCTGAGCTGTGGGGAAGAACTTGTTTGGTGTGAGGGTGGTGAGAGCCTGGCCCAGGTTGGCCAGAGAAGCTGTGGCTGCCCCATCCCTGGAGGGGTTCAAGGGCAGGTTGGAGGGGGCTTGGAGCAACCTGCTCTGGTGGGGGATGTCCCTGCCCAGGGCAGGGGATTTAGGACTAGGTGGTCTTTAAGGTCCCTTCCAACTCTAACCATTCTGTGATTCTATGAAAATAGCCAAGCCAGTTATTTCTGCTGAGGAACAACACATCTGCTAATCACAGGGCACTGGTGAAGAGAAATTTCAATACAGAAGCCTTAGGAATATATTTATATAACATAATGTTAAATTTAAAGATAGCCCAAGACACCTTTCTTTCATGCAAATTTCATAGAATCTGAATCCCTGCTAGTCCAAACTTGTGTATGCCTTATTAATTTATTCTACTCTTAAAATCAAGTATAGCTATCAAAACTTATGCTGTGCTCTATGCACATAGCCCCTAGGCAAAGGAGAAAATAAAGTCTGCTTTGGGATGATAGACATTTCCTAAATGCTTGGAAGATGAACAAACTGTTTCTAGAAATCGAGAGAAGCAGAATTCCAGAGCCAGAAACATAAGATAAGACTCTGGAAACTGCAGTGGATATGGCCAGAAAAATGGTAAAGCTAACAAAGTGCTGCTGTACCACACTTTTTGTTGGGCAACAAGTTAAAAGCACTTTAACACAGATGACATTCACCAGACAGTCACAGTCATCCACACAAAGAGAAGACTATTTTGCTGTTGCTTTTGGAATATCTGACCGTGGACATTAGGCAACGGTTTCATTTCAGTGCTAAGTTACAGCCACACCAACAGCCAAGTCACACACACTGACACTGAAGCAAGAATAAACAGGAAGGTTAAAAACATTGTGGCTGTTGTTTGAAAGAGAGGCTGTTGTCTAGATACACGTTTAATGTTCATTCTTCAGCCTTAAAAGAAAGGCAAAAATGTATTCACTACTATTAATGAAGAAATAAAAACCAGGTATGCTCATCACAGCAAAAAAAAAGCTTCCTAAGACAAGCCAGTGGTAGGTCAACCCCAAACCAGTCCTTTCCATCAGCTTGACCAGATAAGCAACTGGCTTCCACTCTGCTATTCACTATTATAGGATATTGCCTACAACTTCAGTTATAAAATAGAAAGACTCCGAAGACTCCTCAATACATTATTGTGCTCACTGACCTTCACTTGCTCATGAATCTACTGCACCTGAAGATGACACGGTCCAGTTTTGGTCACGGTGACATCAAAGGATATGGACCCTGCTCCAGTTCCCCTCGGCACAGCCCATTCCAGTCCTCCTTTTGAAATGATCTGGAAATCCTCAGTTACTGGTCTCCTGCTGAAACAATGGTACCTGTCAAAAAGCAAACTTGGGCTTTTCCTCATCCCGTTGTCCTCTGTTCTCCATGTAGGATGGAAATCCCTCAAAGGTGCTGGTGTAGGCTTGCAACAGCCTATTGCAAAAGCCTACCTGACTTCAGGGTTACCCCACTGAACTACAGCTCACTGGGAACTGATCTGTCAAGAGGAAGCACACCCTGGAAAACAATGGCATCTTGCAGAGATCTGAGATTGGAGGTGATCAAAGAATCGCCAAAGAAAAGGTAAAGTTATGAAAGGGCAGGGCAGGGCAGACCCAGTTAATGACTGCGGTTGAGGTGGACCTGCCTGTATTAAAACCTCAACAAAGCACTAAGGATCTGACTTGCCCAAAGGAGATCGCAGAGGGCAGCGACACAAAGAGCATTTCTTCCCCGATTTCAATGCTTTAACCATCAATTAAAACCAATGGCTTTTGGTATACGTGATAACTGTGTGAATGTTCTGTAAATCTGTGGGTTCTCAGCCAGGCCTCAGGTCAGCAGCAGGGGGGATTCCATCCAGAAAAGGTGGCCAGAACCAAGTAAAAGAGATTGCTGTCAACAGAGGGACCATCACATGTATGCATCTCATCAAGACTTGAGGGCAGCGCCTACATAATTAAATAAAAAATTCAAGTAGTATCTCCCTTTGAATTAATTTCCTACCCCCAGCTTCAAGTCCCCCCCGCACTCCCCTCACGTTCAGAGGTGCTGAGCAGATGTATCGTGAGTACTTACAGAAGGAAGGTGGAAAGCTGGAACAAGCTAAAGATTAAATCAAGGGGAAGATATTCTGCTGGTGTCCCTGAAAACCAGAAGCTGGCAAGCCACTGTCTTAATTTTAGAGGAACAAAAAGCCGCCTTCAGTACTTTAATAAATAATACATCAGAATCCCTCTATTTTACCTCACAGAACAAAAAAACCCAAAGGTGGCTTTGTTTGTATCATTGTACTGTCCTTGTACCTTTCCTGGTACCAGAATTTACCTTTAGAAAGCTGTATAAAGAGATCTATCTTTCAATATACACAACCAAGTCTATCAGAGTGGTTTAAAAGTTCACAAGCATACTAATTAACACCAAACACGCCAGTCATATGACTTCTCATTTGCATTATTGCTTCTCATGAGCTTGTGTGTGAACTAGACACACACCCAGTAGAACAGGTCTGGCTCCTCTGCACCCACAAGAGCTCAATTTGCATGGGTGCCCATTGCGAAGGAGCAGAGATATTTGGGAGCTCTGCATCCCCACGTCTGCTCCTCCTGCTTTTTCCCCAATCTGATCCTCTAAGTCCACCTATTTCCTCAGATCAACACTCACCTTGCATTATAGGCACACTCTAATTCACACTAGCTGCGTTCCTGTGTGTTCTGATGCCTGGAGTAAGATACCTCAGAACTGCCAGCTGAGATATATACATATATATATATATAAAAAAATATCTTTTCACACAAATTAATTGGAGTTTCGAACACCTGACTGACCTGTGGAACTGCCTCAGAAAGAAAAAAAACAAAACCAAAAACAAGCAGGGTGGTTTTCCACTCTCCACATACAGAGACAAGGATTTGAAAACACAACTCGTTTTGCCCACACTGTGGTGATTTCTACAACTCTCAACGACCAGAAGAACGTAAAACATTAATAAGTCACAAACATCCATTTCCCATGGTTTTCCACTCATGAGGCTGAGATAGGAAAGCAAATATTTAAGAAACAATGACAGAAAGAGCACATTTTTTAACATTACTGTAAAAACAGCAGAAGTAGACATAAGAAAATAAACAAGGTTGTATCATTTTGTATTTTCAAGAAAGAAGCTATTCATGAAGTACGGAGCAAAGAAAAAGAATGTGTTTTATTCCTCCCCTCATGGGGCTTTTAAATACACACAACATATCGCAAGCTCTGGGAATTTTCAAAAAGAATAATGCAGCACATGAGCAGGAATAACATCCAGAGCCTCCGACTCATCTCCGAGCACACATTCCAGCGGGAAGATCTCTGCTCTGAGCTCCATTCAGGAGACACCCAGGTGCTTTGTACAGCTATTATCTGAAAAGTCTGACCCCGCAACAAATGACACCGAAATGCTCTGAGCTCCATTCAGGAGACACCCAGGACACCCAGGCACTTTGTACAGCTATTAGCTGAAAAGTCTGACCCCTCAACAAACAACACCGAAGAAGAAAGCTAAATTATCCAAACTTTATTTCAGCAGTGTACGCTCAACAGGGTGTTTTGCAGATCTGACTAAGCAGCCGCTCTGCTGCTAGGTAAGCAAAGAATTTCTGATCCTGTTTGTACAACGCTGAACTCCAGCAGGCAAGAGGGTGAGCTGTGAATTTTCTGCGAAGCCCATCTGATTAAATCACATACTATTTTTGTATTAGCATTTCTGTAAAGGAAAAGCACTTCCATTTACCCAAACGTAAATTTGGCTTAAACAGAAATGGGAAGACACGATTCATACGAAGAAAAACAAATACATAGGGCCTAGCCAACCTGTTTCGCTTTGCAGTGAAGTCTTTTTATGCTTATGAGGTGACAAATCCTTTTGGTATATTCACTATTTAATATCCATCACTTAGTCCTAGGTTTTGCATTTGTCATATTTAGAAGAAAATAACATGTAATTTTCCAAGGCCTAAAACAGCAGTACTGCACTCAATTAGGATAGCGACTAACAACAAGAAATCCTCCTTCTCTTTTTTCAACCCAAATCTTTTCTGTCCCCTCCAGCATTTTTTTTTTTCAGTCTGAAAAATCCTTGTAAGATTTTTCTGGATCCAGCACGGGAAGAGTTTGCTCCTCACCCTTTGCAGCAGCACTCTGGGACTGCATGGATGGGAAGGATGGAGGTTCAGCCACTTGGCCCATTGACTCACCTTTCAATTATTATCGGACACATTTATGCTTCTTCATGTTGTCTCTAAGGTTCAGGATTCAGCAATGAAACTGAGATGAAATGGATCAGAAAAGTTAGTAAAAATATAATTGTTCTTGTTAATAAAGAACAAGTCCAGAGAAGAGCTAAGACTATCTTTGTAACAGATCTCAAGTATAAAGGCACTTCACAAAAATGAAGGCTGAAAGGGGATGAAATTCCTCCCTCTGCATACCTAAGGGATAAATAGCAGAGAAGCGACGCTGTTTGATCTAACAGATATTGTGACTACAAGGATACAGCCAAATCACCATTAAAAAATGAGATGGCTTTTATCCACCAGAGGCTTTTGAACAGCCTCAGTGTCTTTCCCAGTTCTCTTTCCAGTTCAAGGCCACACAACCTCCCCGCCCTGATCACGCCTCCCTCTAGGAATAGTTTTTCATTGACATATTGACCACTGCAGCAATATTACTACTGCCCCTTCAACCACGGAAATACTGGGTGGAAAGAAGGAGCTAAAGAACTCTATGGAAAAGAATCTGATGGCTGCAGAGAAACGACAAGGTGAACCCAAGCCAGCAGTTGCTTATATTGACAGCAGCACTGTGCTTTATGGGGATCACAGCCAAATCTAACCCTGGGCTGGAGTAGAGCACCCCGCTTCGGAATGCTGTGTACCCCACACCGACTGCACACAGAAAGGCAGGGAGAACAATCAGATGCTCAGCAAACAACCTACAAGGGAGAGCGGAAAAGCAGGAGGCTGGCGTGACAAAAGGACCATAAAGTCTGTAAGTATTTTAAATACAGTGTTTAAAAAAAATAAAAAATAAATACCTTTTTTTCCTGTTTGCAGCCTGTGCGAGAAGAAATGGGCTTAGACTGCAGCAAGGAAGATTGGGGTTAGACATTCTGACTAATAAGGATGGCCAGGAACCAGAGTAAATTATCGAGGAACAGAAATTTCAGTATAACTTACCTCCCAGAACAGCCCACAACCACCTGTGAGGAATAGTTACGTGTAACCAACCCTGCCCTGAAAGGAACCGTGGACTAGGTGGCCTTCCACACTTATGAGTCAATGTTTCATTATTTCATATTCTATCATTATTTATTTGTTTTACTACAATATCTCTAAAGTCTAGCCACTGACTCATGCCAAGTCCTGGGACAGGATAAACATGTGACAGAAATTCCATAACGGGCACAAAAAAAGAAATGTAAGAGGCAACGGTAGAATAGACAGGTAGGGAGGCCAAAACAAGCAGCAAAACAGCATTAATAGTCCCAACAGCACGTCAACAAGTAACTCTGAAGACTTTTGCAGTCATCATAGTAAAGGAAAATTAAGGGCTGTTTAGGAGAAGGGATTGTTTGTGGGATACTCCTCCTTGTACGAAAATAATGGTTTTCAAAGCAATCAGCAGACCATGGAGGCTGGCACACTGCGTCAAGCAGAACTGGTGGCTGACTAAGGTGAGGTGAGGAGAAATAAGGCAGTGTGGGATCTGAGATAAGGAAGAAGACTTCCTATTGAAAGCAAAAGAGCAGAGCAGAAGAAAGGGATGAAATCCCAAAGCCCGATCCCGTACAATGCCCTCCTCAGCATCGCTCTGCGGGGATGTAACACGTGACAAAATCTGTCAAGGTAGAGAAAATAATATTGGAAGGAGCGATTAATTAGATGGTGAGATGTTGCACAAGTTGCAGATGGCCAAGGACCCCACCATTTAAGATTTCATGTAGAAAGAAATATGGAAGTTTAGACAACCCTACTCAGAACTAGAGAGAAGCCCTATTGCAAAGCTGATACCCAATTTGAGTTTGCATAAGCAAATAAGGCTGTTTCATCTGCTGTGACTCAGCCAGTGCAGGGAGACTGGCAGAGGATGGGAATCTCCAGTTCAACAGCGTGATGCATAAGCTGATGCCTCACATACACAGACACTTGCAGAAAGACAAAATGAAATTTTAAGTTGTGTCAGAAAACAGAAGTAGGTAAGGCCAGAACCGCTGGTATGACCACTAGGCTCACAAAGCCTACGCAGAGAGGCTCAGAGGAAGCAAGACAGTGACTGTGGT